GTTTCTATGCCGAGAGCAAGATTTGTGCCAATCACCCGATCAAAGAGGAACTGGGCGTTCAGTTACTGTATCCGACATATCGTGAAGGTATCCTAGCGCAGGTGTTGGAGGAGGATAAACTGGCTAAAGGAGAGTCTACCAATCCTATCGTCTCTTCTACTCAACGTCTAGTGGTGCTGGTGAACATCGGATCTCTACGGGCCGAGCCGTACTTGGACCTGCGTCAGATCAGCTTCCGACTGAGTCGTGCTCTGGGCCAACCAGTGGTGCCATGCAGCTTCCGGTTCTCGAACCGTGTGGATCCTCAGGAACTCAATGGACTCAAAGCCAAGACGTTCGAGATGGTGCTGACCGAGCATCTGGCTACACGTGGCGAAGGTGCGAGCGACGTTGTCGTGCTCCCACTGTTTTTCGGGAACAGCTCGACGTTGACCGAGTTCTTGCCCAAGACGATGAATCAGGTATGGGACTCCGTCTCGTCAACGTCCGCTGCTCTCTCGGTCCGTATTGGTGGCTGTCTAGTGGACGGCCACGACACTCGTGTGGCTCAGATTTTACTGGAACGTATCCACGAAGCTGTGGACTTTGCGACGTTGCAGGAAGACGTGACGGTGCTTGTCGTGGATCACGGTACTCCGAGTCGTGACGTGCATGAGTCACGCGAGTTTGTAGCGAACGAACTGCGTGAGTTGCTGAAGACCAACCAGCGTGTGAAGCTCGTCGGTACTGCGTGTATGGAGCGTCGTGAAGGTGCCGAATACGACTTTAACGACCCTCTGCTGGCTGTAGCGCTGGATCACTACAACGTGACTAAGGGGATCGTTGTATGTGCCAAAATGTTCTTCTCCAATGGCCGTCACGCGGGCGAGAAAGGAGACATCGAAGAGATCATTAAGGACGTCCGTGCCAGACACACAGACGTGGACGTTCGCGTCACGGAGGCGCTTGGAACGCACGAGCTGTTGGCCGAGATCTTGCAAGATCGCTACCGTGCTGCGTTGTCCAAGGAGACGTCGGACTACACTCTCACACTGAGCAAGTAACGTCCGGAGTACCGGTATGCATTGCCTTTTCTTACGATTTAAGCTTCGGATGGGGCACGGCGTGACACTCGCGTAGCTACTCGCGTCACTTCTGCTTGGATTGTTCTCGGTAATTCTCCATGTTGACTGCGGGAAATGCTGATGGCTTTGACGAGAAGCAGGTTATCGGCTTCTGCACGCACCAGTTGACTCTTGAGTCTGGTTTTATCTGCTTGGAGAAGACTGAGCTGACCTCGATCGCTAAGAGACTTGGACTCGTCACACGCTTCACTGTGAGTGCGTTGTGTAGGTGAATTCAGTACACTCTGCAAGTCTTTACTGCGTCGCTCACGTCGAAATGCTTCAAACTCTCTCTCCACTTTCTCGACCTCATTTGTCTTGTCAGCAATTGCTCGGTCTTTGTCGTCCAGAAGTTGTTGCCATTTACTCATCTTCTTTTTCCAATCTGCCACCAGGTTGCTCACATTTTTCGAGTTTTGTTCGCTGGATTCGAGCTTGTCCTTCACGAGTTGATGACGTTTCTGGAGCTCGTTTTTCGACTGGATGAGCTGCTCGCGCTCTTCCAGCACGTCACGCAGCTTGGTCTCCAACTCGACAGCTTTCCGCTCGAGCAACGTGTAGTATTTGCGCCAGTTTTTATTCTGCTTGAATAATTTCATAAATTTCTCGGGGACGCGAGCGCGAACACGGTCACGACAATTGCGAAGCATCTCGAACATTATCTGCTCCACTGTACCCAACAACACGTCAGGATTTTCACTGTTTCAAGTGGATAAAAAAGCTCAGTTTAACATACCGTAGCAGCAGCAGATTTTACTATAAAGCTGCGTTTGAGTCACAAGAATTCGTCGGTCGATTGGAGATAAAGTCGAGGTAGGGAAAGCCACTTGAAGAACGCCATATACTGCCCCTGTTTAAACGTACACAATGCCAGTTAAATCAGGTTTTAAAAAGAAGAAACCTAGAATGTTACCATCAGAGGAGACGAGTGCTGACGATACCATGCTATGCGTTGGCTTCGAGGAGTTCAGATTTGGTAGAGAGATACTCATCAGGTGTGAGGTATCATCCTGTTGTAAGCCGTTCATGGCGAACTGATCGACCATGGGATGGAAGCGTGGATCGGCTGATATGTCCGTGATGATTAACGTTGATCCACTCGCTAGTGTACTTCCAGCAATACCCAGAGAGCCTGGTACTTGTATCAACTGATTCTCCTCACGTTGCGTCCACAGTTCATTGCTGCTTGGGTCGAAGAGGAACAGGACGGCTGCACTACCGTGTACAATCTGTGCAAAAGTGCTGGATACGCTGACGAAAAGATCTTTTATCGAGGTTGGCTGGAACAAACGACGAATTAGTGTCTGCAGTGCTTGGAACGAAGCCCCCGTGGTCAATTGCTCCTCTGCAGCTGATAGCGCC